CCCCAAAACCCCAAAACCCCAAAACCCCAAAACCCCATTCTGGATGGCAGTGTAGAAAGACCGTGTGAATGGATAATTTTAGCAATAATAATTTTTTACAAAACATAAATGGAGTGTTACAATCTGTTCTCCGAGAATTACAAACCACAGGATGAAGAACTAAGGCATGAACCCCCAGATATTTTCTTAAAGGACCAAATCTTCGATGTCAAGTTCTCTCCAACAGCTAATGTTTTGGCTTTAAGTCAAGTAACAGGTCATGTTAGATTATTCTCTTACAATGAAGAAGCAAATCAGGAGGTTCTAGCATTTACGCACCATAAAGCTAGTTGCAGAGCAGTTGAATTTTCAGATGATGGAAATTTCCTCTTCACGGGGTCTTCTGATAACAGCATTGGAATCATAACAAACGGAGAGCTTCTTTTTCAAGTTAAAAATGCTCATAAAGCTCCCATAAATAAGATAAAATACATCGAGAACAATGCAGTGATTGCAACTGGAGATGATGATGGACTCATCAAAATTTGGGACTTTAGAATTTCTTCTACTAAAACTAACAATCTCTGTGTTGCAACATTTACTGAAAATACAGACACGATAACCGACATCGTATTGAACAAGGAAACTAATCTCCTTCTCAGCACAAGTAACGACGGCTTTCTAGGTGTATTTGATATCAGGAGGTCATCTCTAAACCCTGATAGTCTATTCACAGGAAATCTATCAGAGCCAGGTGCCAAATTCAAACCCTCTCTTTACGCATTATCTGATAACATGGATGAAGAACTCACTTCTTTATGAATTGTTAAAAATGGCAAAAAGGTAATAGTAGCTTCTCAAGAAGGAACAATGATGCTCTTCTCATGGGACTGGTTTGGTGACTGAAATGATCGAATTACAGCCCACCCTTGCTGAATCTCCACGATGGTGCAATACAACGAAGACATTATCCTGACTGGTTGTGATGACGGATACGTCAGAGCAGTCAACATCTTACCTAACAGAATAGTAGCGATAATTAATGACGATGCTGACGAAGAGGATAGCCTGCCAGTTTCCAAAATTGCACTCAAAAACAATTTCATAGCCTTCACTTGAAATGATGAAATGGTCAGGATTTATGATATCAAAAATTATGAAGACCAAGGATCAGATGAGGAACCTTCAGATATTGAACAAGAAGCAGCTCAGACCAACCAAAATGTAGAAGAAGTTAAAGAGGATAGCGATGCAGACAAGAACTGGGAAGATTTAGAGGATGAAATGGAAAGTAGCAGTGATGACGACGATGCAGCTTTCGCTGGGGTTAATGCCTACGGAGGTCAAGACGCGAACTGGACCAAGAATAAGTCTGAATTTGAAAGAAAGAAGAGACAGGACTTCTTCTCTAGTCTTTAGTTATAATATCTCTCAATTATTCTTTTCCTCCCAGGGGTTTTGGGGTTTTGGGGTTTTGGGGTTTTGGGGTTTTGGGG